GTCCCCAACTAAGCAAGCCAGAGGCGACAGCGGCAAGGAACCAAAAATCCATCGGTGACAGAATGGAGAAAAAACCTTGGGAGAAAGCAGGCTCAGTCAGGGGGCCAGTTCTCCTCTGATCAGACAAAACCAGCAGTTCAATTCCAGGCTGCAATTAAAGTCACATTGAGCAGAGGACTCGACTGGTTCCTGTGGCCATCTAGGAGACAAGGTATTTACTGGGGATCTGTCTCTGGGGCTCATCTGGTTGTCCTGGTCTCCGCTGACATTCAGAGCTGTAGAGGTCATCTCTAGGTGCTGATCCACCATCTGGGCTGGATACGTACTGGATCCGGGTGACTGCAGTGACCATCTGATCTGGATACAGACTGGATCTGGTGGCTACTGTGACCTCGGAATAAGAAAGAAACAGACTAATATTAGCGTAGATACCATTCTTCTAATGATGTAGCAAGTACATCGGGTGTTATGGGAAGTGTTCCCGGTTCCGGTTGTCCTAATTAATGCAGCCTAACAATCCTTTAACGGATTTGAATATTAGAAATGTCTTAGTGTGTAAGTCAGGTTAAAGAGACGGGTCTTTAATCTAGATTTAAACTGACAGGTAATTTAGATATATTTTTGAGATGCAGTTTAACAAATACTAGAAATGTGGCTTTCAAAGAAAAGATTGCTATCAAATAACACACCTAGGTTCCTAACTGATGACAACAAATTGACAGAGCAGCCATCATGCGTTAGATAGTGTTCTAGGTTATTACATGTGGAGTTTTTAGGTCCTATAATTAACACCTCTGTTTTTTCAGAATTTAGCAGTAAGAAATTACTCTTCATCCAGTTTTTTATATCGACCATGCATTCCGTTAGTTTTTCAGATAGGTATGTTTCGCCGGGCCACGAAGAAATATAGAGCTGAGTATCATCAGCATAACAGTGAAAGCTAACACCGCGTTTCCTGATGATATCTCCCAAGGGTAACATGTAATGCGTGAAAAGTAACGGCCCTAGTACTGAGCCTTGAGGTACTCCATACTGCACTTGTGATCGATTTGAGCATTTAACAGTTTGAGTGACTCCACAATGATCCAATTATACAAACATATTAAGCCATACAGTGGAGTTTTTAATAGCATAAATGCAGAGGCGTATTTTTCAATCCAGTTAAAATTATGGCTATGTCAGGTGTTGGGTGTTTTGCAGATAGCTCTGGACAATCCAGTCTCAAGAAATATCACAAATTATATTGCTTTATAGTAATATCTCAGTTGTTCCTTCTAGACGGCAGTGAGATTAAAGGAATAGTTCATCCAAAACTGAAAATCTGTGGAAATTTTACTCACCAATAGATTTTCTGCAGTGAATTGGTGAGTTCAGAATGAGAGTTCAAACAGCTGATAAAAACATCACAATAATTCACACAACTCTTCATGTCTTATGAAACAAATCCATCATTATCTTTATATTATCTTTTAACTGTTGCTTCCAAATGCCAAAATACAAGTCCATAATCCATATTAATGCTTCCTGCAGTGAAAAAGTCCATCCCCTGTTGTCCTCCACATCATATATCATATATGTTTAGAATGGGTTTGAACTGTTTTTGCATGCAAACAGTGCTTGATCTGTGCATATTTCTCTCCTGATTAAGATGAGATTATTTTCACTGTACTCATATTTTAGCAGGAAGCAATGGTTTGTTAAAAATGTTTTAATTATGAATTTTATTTATTTATTTTTTTATTTATTTTTATATCTTTTCACTTCCCAAGATGTTATTTGATAGACTAGAGTCATGTGGATTACTTGTGATGTTTTTATCAGCTGTTTGAACTCTCATTCTGACGGCACCCATTTACTGAGCAAGTGATGTAATGCTAAATTTCTCCAAATCTGTTCAGATGAAGAAACGAATTCATCTGCGTCTTGGACGGCCTGAGGGTGAGTAAATTTTCTGCAATTATTCATGTTTTGGTGAACTATTCCTTTAACTGGGGAGTAAAAGAAAACCTAGGAACACCTCAGTCATTTCAGATGAGATCTCAGCTGTGATTTGCCAAGATACTAAAGTATGCAATGAAATGTCAGCAAGCTCAATATGAACTCAGATCATTTGGTTTAGGGATAATTTTATTACAAAATGTTTGAGTCATGCTACCCACATTCATTTTATAACTAACAGTGTCAACAACTGTCAAATTTTTCTATTTTTATTTCTCCTAAAGGAATTTTAAAAGAAATATTAGACACAATATAAACAGAGCTCATCTAAAAGTATGATGTTGCTGAGCTTCTTGTGAACTAATCATTTGTGCAGTACATGATATTCAAAAAAGTTTGTCTTCATAATTTTTTATCATAATCTTTTTACTTCTTATTTTTCATGACTAAATCAGTTCCTAGTGGACGAAATCCCACCCTATATTTATTCCCATTTGATATCCCATTTCGTAGAAATATATTATGGAATTAAAATGGTTGTGAATGCTGTTTGATGTTGAATTTGAATAAAACAACGTTTGAGCAATGCAATAAACAACATTTAAGCAATAACATATCCTCTGAGAGGACTGATGGTTTTTCAGTCACACTTTTTTATCATAGATTACACAAAAATAAAAATGAATGCATAGTGAATAGAGTTCAAAGGGATAAAATAAGATAAAAAGGCATAATATGCATGCAAATATATGAGTGTATGGTAGTGGGAGCGATGGAGGATTTGAAAGGAGGACAGAGTGAGATGTGAAAATCACCTGGCCTGATCACTAATGGTGAGGAAGCTATTGGACTGAAGGTGGGTCAGAACCACAGGCAGATTAGTGGGTCAATCATAGAGCACTCCCATCCACAGCAGGATTAAACAGCACTGTAAATGTGTGGCCTGTATCAAATATTACTGCCCTACACTAATAGCTGAACATTATTATGGCCATTACGGCAATTCAGTGTTCCCACAATGTCCCGAATCACTTCCTATGGACGCCTGCTGCGGCATGATTTATGCCTCTGTGATTTACAGAAAAAGATCAATGTTAGAAATAATGCTGATTTTATTACGCTAAATTCTCTATTCTGTTTTAGATTGTTACATTATGATCTTATTGTGCTTCTTTAGTGGTTGATCAGATTTCACTTTTTATATGAAGGCATTTTCAGTTTAATATCTGCAGAAATGACTTATTCTGGTTCTAATGTAGATTCCCATCCTGTGCATAAAGACGTGATTTATTTTGAAATGCATTCAAGCCTTTAGGATTGTAAGGGTCACCCTTCATGGCTATTTAAAGCATGATATCTTTGGTCATTTTCAGTTAACAAAAATATGTGCTAAGAACGTTTTGCTTATTAAGTTAAAATGCTTATTAAGTATGAAAACATTATTTCGGAATGTTCTGTGAATGTTCAAAGCATCCATTGAAAAAAAAATGTTTTACTTTTTTTTTTTTTGGTTATGCAAAGAGACTACATTCCCATTCCATTTTACATTCCATCATTTTGCAAACATTATGGGAATGTTACTTTTGAATGCTTTAATA